CAGTGAGCTGAGATCACACCACTGCACTTCACCCTGGGTGACAGAGCATCGAAAAAATAATAACAGTAAATAATAATAATAAAAATTTGTAAAGGTATAATTTACACCTGATGCCACTCAAGCGTCCCCTTTTAAGAGCGACTTTTCCCTTAAAGGTCAGAATCACATAATTACCTATCCAATAACAGCCGGAAATCTAATAGTCACCTCAAAGTCAATCAGACTAAAACCCAAGCCCTGTTTCCTCATCCTTCTTACTCCCAAAACTTACTCCTGCTGGGTCTTCCCCTTCCACGTGTAATTTAATTTAATTGATTAATTAATTTTTGCTTTTTTACTTTTTTATTGTTTTGAGATAGTCTTTTCTGTCGCCCAGGCTGGAGTGCAGTGGCGCAATCTCGGCTCACTGCAAGCTCCGCCTCCTGGGTTCATGCTGTTCTCCTGCCTCAGCCACCCGGAGCAGCTGGGACTACAAGCACCCGCCACCACACCCGGCTAATTTTTTGTATTTTTAGTAGAGACGGGGTTTCACCATGATAATAGACGCAGGTGGTCTTGATCTCTGACCTTGTGATCGGCCCACCTCTGCCTCCCAAAGTGCTGGGATTACAGACGTGAGCCACTGTGCCGGCCTGTTTTATTTTAATTTGAGAGAAGTTTTGCTCTGTTGCCCAGGTGACCTCGGCTCACTGCAACCTCTGCCTCTTGGGTTCAAGTGATTCTCTTGCCTCAGCCTCCGAGTACTGGGATTACAGGCCCTTGCCACCATGCCGGCTAATTTTCTGTATTTTTAGTAGAGAAGGGGTTTCGCCATATTGCCCAGGCTGGGTCTCACCATATTGCCCTGACCTCAAAGTGATCCACCTGCCTGGCCTCCCAAACTGCTGGGATTACAGGTGTGAGCCACCGCGCCTGGCTATGAGTTTCTATTCTTCTTTTTTTTTTTTTTTTTGAGACAGTCTCCTCTGTTGCCCGGCTGGAGTGCAGTGGCGAGATTTCGGCTCCCTGCAACCTCCACCTCCTGGGTTCAAGCCATTCTCCTGCCTCAGCCTCCCCAGTAGCTGGGACTACAGGTGCGCACCACCCACGCCCAGGTAGTGTAATTTTTTAGTAGAGATGGGTTGCACCATGTTAACAAGATGGTCTCAATCTCCTGACCTCGTGATCCACCGCCTCGGCTTCCCAAAGTGTTGGGATTACAGGCGTGAGCAACCACACCGGCCTTTTTCTTTTGAGACAAAGTCTCGCTCTGTCGCTCAGGGTGGAGTGCAGTGGCATGATCTGGGTCATTGCAACCTCTGCCTCCTGGGTTCAAGCGATTCTCCTGCCTCAGCCTCACAAGTAGCTGGGATTACAGGTGCGCACCACAGTCTGGCTAATTTTTGCATTTTTAGTAGAGACAGGGTTTCACCATGCTGGTTAGGCTGGTCTTGAACTCCTGACCTCATGATCCACCCGCTTGGGCCTTCCAAAGTGCTGGGATTCCAGGCGCGAGCTGCCGTGCCTGGCCTGAGGTTCTGCTTCTAAAGGCTGCACAGATAACAATATCAAGCACAGAGTCTCCACTCAAGAAATACTGGAAAAATGAAAAACAATAAAAACGAATACGTAGCACGCACTTACCTGTCAGGCCTCACATTAAATACATTTCACATTTTATCGCATTTAGTCCTTCCATCTACCTATGAAACCAGTAATAAATAGCATTAACTCCATTTAACACTTGAGGCAACTAAGAGGTCAACTAACTCCTCAAGGTTTCTCCATAACCTAGATGGCCAAGATTCCAGGAAGGCTGGCTGTTGAGTCCAGAGGACTCAGTACATTGCTTCTGTCAAGTGAGGCTGACTTTACAGAAGTAGAAACTGAGGACCAGAGAGGGGGAATGGTTTTACACCAGCATGCTGCCACTAATCAGAGGCAGGGCAAAACCAGGCTAAACAAACTACAACTCTCATGAGCCTCCGGGGCAGGAGCCCAGCCAAGGAAGCTGCAGGCTACCCTGGGGCTTGCTGGGTGATGTAGTTCTGCAGTGTCACCTGAGGCTGGTGGGACTCACTCACCACAGGACATAGGAACGGGAAGGTGCGCTCTTGTAGATATACTGCGCCAGCCACCACTGCACCGTCATGTTCCAGTACCGCATGCCATCGCGCACCCACATGCAGAAATCTGTGCCGTAGCAGTCGATGTTGCGGATGGTCTCATAGTCATACTCCAGGGAAGCCGTCTTCTCCGGACTAGGGGGTGGAGGATGAGGTTAGGGGACAGACATGCAGCTCAGCCAGGCCCCCTCCCGCCGCCTGCTAGAGTCCCAGTCCTAGATGCTAAGGAAGGGATCCTGGCCAGGCAATGGCCCTCTGGCTGTCAGACTTGCTAGGGCAACAAGGGAGGGTGGCCCAGAGGGTGCCTGTAGGGGAGGACGATGGGTGGGCCCGCCGGTGGTACAGTTCACTGACAATGGGCTTCTTCTTCTTTTGGTACCTAATGGGGCCTGCCACAGCCATTAAAAGCCTTGAAGGGCTATGGTTGCTAAGCTATGAGTCCTTTAAGCAACTAAGCTCAGTATATTCAGAGAAGCCTCCAAGGATGGTCCCTTCTAAATCGTCAGACACTGCAGTTGCTAGGGAAGTTGTGATTATCATTCCTCATAACAAGGTGCTTCATGATTGCTAGGGAGATGTTCCAGGCACCAGTGGGGTCCCCATGATCTTTGTTGCTAGGGAAAAGGCATTCCTTAGCAACAAGGCCTAGGATGTTTAGACAGGCTTTTAGAAAGGGGCTTTTTCCTGGTCGCAGTGATTGTTGGAGAA